ACACCCCCAAGTTGGCTAACCTGTGCTCCTGTCGAGGAAGGAATTTCTGGGAATTAGACTGAACCTTGCGAAGGAATGCTGAATTTCCTACCCCGCACCTGTCCTCTAGGCTGGGCACTTCTTAATCCCTCTTCTTCAACCTCATGGCCCCTCCTTCCTTTCTGTAAATATTTACTGAGCACCCCACGCGTGTGAGGCACGAGGCCCGCAGGTTCCTGGTCAGGAATAGCGGGGCGGCATTGACTGGCCTTTCTCGCGGACTCCCTGCTCTGGCCCGGGCTCCGGCTGAGGCTGGATGGGGACCACAGGGTGCTGCAGCCACTGTCTGGGGGCGTGACACTTCATTTGTCACAAGGCTGGTAAGTGACCAGTCTTATTCAAGATGCAGAGGTTTATTATAATCCTGATGCTTCAGGGTCTTTTCCAATGAGAAGAGCCGACTCAATGGACGTGAGTTTGAGCAAGCTGTGATGGACAGGGAAGCCTAGCGTGCTACAGTCCATGGGGTAGCAAAGAGTTGGACACAACTGAGCGACTGAACTGAATTGAACGGATGCTTCAGAGCAGTGGGAAGAATTCTACTGGTGCTGGTTAAAACTGTAGGCTCTGAAATCACATAGACCCAGGCTTCCATCGCTGGCTAGCCTCTGACCTTGAGCATGTTTTTGAACCCTCCATGGTAAGTACCTCGTCTGAAAAATAGGAATAAGACAATGCTCTTTCATGGGCTCTCTGTCAGGACTGAGATAATTTATGCAGGTTTTTGGCTTGATGCTTGGTAAATCATAAATGCTTCACAAATCTTAGCTATCATGTGCTGCCCACTGTATAAAACCCTCAGAAATGGGTGCTGTCCACAAGAGTTTGCTCTCAGCTTGGCATTAAAGGCTCTCATCTGCTCTCAGGCCTCATCTGCCTCCACTTGCCTTCTGGCATTTGGGCCTCAGTGAAGTTGCCGAGTTCTCCAACATGAACTTCTCTTCCGTCCTTCAGGCTTTTGTACACGCCGATCCTTCTGTTGGATCACCCACCCCGTCATTCTCTGCCAAAAGATCCAAGCAACTTACAATGCCCAGTTCTGGTTTTGGCTTTGAATCAAGACAATCCTAGGTTCATACTCAGGCTCTGCCAGCCACTGACCAGCTATGTGACTTCCTATATATTCTGAATCCCAGACTCAGGATTATCATAAGGATTCAATTACACCATGAACATGATCAAATCCCTTATAATTATACAGTCAAAGTGACAAATAGATTTAAGGGATTAGAACTGATAAGAGTGCCTGAAAAACTATGGACAGAGGTTCATTACATTGTACAGGAGGCAGTGATCAAGGCCATCCCCAAGAAAAAGAAATGCAAAAAGGCAAAATGGTTGTCTGAGGAGGCCCTACAAATAGCTGAGAAAAGAAGAGAAGCGAAAGCATAGGAGAAAAGGAAAGATATGCCCATTTGAATGCAGAGTTCCAAAGAATAGCAAGGAGAGAGGAAAAAGCCTTCATCAGTGATCAGTGCAAAGAAATAGAGGGAAACAATAGAATGGGAAAGACTAGAGATCTCTTCAAGAAAATAGAGATACCAAGGGAACATTTCATGCAAAGATAGGCACAGTAAAGGACAGAAATGGTATGGACCTAACAGAAGCAGAAAATATTAAGAAGAGGTGGCAAGAATACACAGAATAACTATACAAAAAAGATCTTCAAGACCGAGATAATCACTATGGTGTGATCACTCACCTAGAGCCAGACATCCTGGCATGTGAAGTCACGTGGACCTTAGGAAGCATCACTACAAACAAAGGTAGTGGAGATGATGGAATCCGAGTTGAGCTATTTCAAATCCTAAAAGATGATGCTGTGAAAGTTCTACACTGCATATGACAGCGAATTTGGAAAACTCAGCAGTGACCACTGGACTGGAAAAGGTCAGTTTTCATTCCAATCCCAAAGAAAGGCAATGCCAAAGAATGCTCACACTACTGCACAATTGCACTCATCTCACATGCTAGCAAAGTAATGCTCAGAATTCTCCAAGCCAGGCTGCAACAGTATGTGAACTGTGAACTTCCAGATGTTCAGGCTGGATTTAGAAAAAGAAAAGGAACCAGAGATCAAATTGCCAACATCCATTGGATCATTGAAAAAGCACAAGAGTTCCAGAAAAACATCTACTTCTGCTTTATTGCTATGCCAAAGCCTTTGTGTGGATCACAACAAACTGTGGAAAATTCTTCAAGAGATGGGAATACCAGACCACCTGACCTGCCTCCTGAGAAATCTGCATGCAGGTCAAGAAGCAACAATTAGAACTGGACATGGAAAAACAGACTGGTTCCAAATCAGGAAAGGAGTACATCAAGGCTGTGTATTTTCACTCTGCTTATTTAACTTATATGTAGAGTACATCATGAGAAATACTGGATTGGATGAAGCACAAGCTGGAATCAAGATTGCCAGGAGAAACATCAATAACTTCTGATATGCAGATAACACCATCCTTACGGCAGAAAGCAAAGAACTAAAGAGCCTCTTAATGAAAGAGGAAAGTGAAAAAGTTGGCTTTAAACTCAACAATCAGAAAACCAAGATCATGACATCTGGTTCCATCATTCCATGTCAAATAGATGGGGAAACAGTGACAGACTTTATTTTTGGGGGTTCCAGAATCACTGCAGATGGTGACTGCAGCCTTGAAATTAAAAGACACTTGCTCCTTGGAAGAAAAGTTATGACCAGCATAGACAGCATATTAAAAAGCAGACATTACTTTGCCAACAAAGGTCCATCTAGTCAAGGCTATGGTTTTTCCAGTGGTCACGTAGGGATGTGAGAGTTGAACTATAAAGAAAGCTGAGCACTGAAGAATTGATGATTTTGAACTGTGGTGTTGGAGAAGACTCTTGAGAGTCCCTTGGACTGCAAGATCCAACCAGTCCATCGTAAAGAAAATCAGTCCTGAATATTCACTGGACGGACTGATGCTGAAGCTGAAACTCTAATACTTTGGCCACCTGATGTGAAGAACTGACTCATTTGAAAAGACCCCGATGCTGGAAAAGACTGAAGTGGGAGAAGGGGACAACAGAGGATGAGATGGTTGGATGGCATCACTGACTCGATGGACATGAGTTTGAGTAAACTCTGTGAGTTGGTGATGGACAGGGAGGCCTGGTGTGCTGTAGTCCATGGGGTCGCAAAGAGTCACAACTGAGAGACTGAACTGAACATTTAGCACAATGCTTGCAATATGGCTGTTAACTAAAAACGTTCTTCTCTTCCTCTCAGAATCTTTTCCAAACTCTTACCATCTGTACCTTGCATCTCTTCCATAGTGTTCACCGTGTTGTAGTTATTTATCACTGTCTTATTCTAGGCTATGAGTTGTTTGGGGTCTAAGAACAGTGAATCCTCAGGACCTAGCACCGTGCTTGGTACATGGAAGTCCTAATGTTTGCATATTGAGTGGATAAGGCAGAAACCTGTGCAAGACAAGGAATGAGCTTCTGTGTGGGGAATTTTCTTTGCTGGGGTGCTTCCCTCTCTGAGCCCAATAATCCTAAGCAAGATTTTCCTCTTTGGTGGTTAGGTGTCCAAGCGCTCACAGAGCCCAGTACATACACCTGCCAGTTGATCAAGACATGCCTGAAGGGACAGCAGAAGCAATTCAGTACCGGCTCTACCTGGGGTGGCCCACAGCCATTCTCTCTGGGGCCCCAGGAGAAGTCATACACAATTCCATGCAGAAAAACAGTGCCAACCTCCTCCTGTCCTGATGCATTGTTCTGTGCCAGTGTGACTAACAGAGGATCTGAAGACGGAGGGACCCTGCTGTGATGCCAAGAGGGAGTGGACTGGGCCCGGCTGCTGGAGCAGGAAAAGGGTGACCTGTCAGGACAGATGGGCCCAGGGAGCTCTGTCCAGGCACCAACCAGTCTGGCCAGGGCTGGTGATGTCAGGTTACTTTTTAAAGGACCAAGGCTTCTCTTCCAAATAGAAAGACAATACTTTGACTTATGTGCCAGGTACCGTGAAGGATAAATGCAGTGAAGGGCCAAGAGAAGGAAGGAGAGCAGGAGTGGCCAAACCAGGGACCACTGTGAGGGTACCTGGGCTCCAAAACTTCCCTCTCACTTATATTCTCCTTCACCCTCCTGAGAATTCTCCAGGGAGACCCTGCGCTTCTGGCTTTGCTGAGACAGCTGCTGAGAGGAGTGTAGACTTTGGGGACAGCTCACATTTCAGCCAGGGCACAACCACTCCGAGGTTCAGTGGAAGACCTGAAGAAAATTCTATGCTGGGAAACAGTTCCTCCTCACATTCTTAGCATGAAAAGCCTTGGAAAAAAGGACCCCAGACACAACGGCCTCTTAGGTGAACCCCAGGGCCTACGCCCTGTTTATTTGCATAAGCCAGAGGTTTCTGCCACAATAGCAGTCTCAGACCCGGGGGAGCCCCCTCCCTCCAGCCTCAGGAGGTCCAGAGCTAGACAGACACAAAACACAGTTCAGATTCCCTTCTCTGAGGCCTGAGGAGACCATTTCCTCTCTTCCTGTTGTCTCTAAAAAATAAGGTCTGTCAGTCTGCACCCCCACCCCCATACACAGTCTGCTATGGGTTAAGCACCAAATATTAAATGAAACGCATTAAACGGGTTGTTCTTTCATCACAGACAAAAAGACAACTGTGATGCCATCAAGGAACTAGCCAGTCTTGGAACAAGTGTGCAAGCTTCCTTCTCTCTGACTCATGGAAGAGTCTGCTCCAGGAGCCTGACCTCCATGTCATTACAGGGAGATTGGGGGCCTTCCAGGGGAAGACTCGGCCTTGGCCCTTTTCCATGGCTATAGGGATGTTGTTCCTGCAGGGACCATCCAGACCTGAGCTCTGAGTAAGGCAAACAGGCTGATACTGTTGAGAAGGGCGTCTAGGGCTTATGGCCTTTGGGTGCTGACTGGGGGCAGAGGCCAGCCACAGGGCCAGGGGGGTGCGGGGAGGCTCAGTAGGTGAAGCGCATCTTTGGTGAGTAGCCCAGTTTGTCCAGGTTGGGGTGGCAGGCCAGCTGCACCATCGGGGGTGGCCCACAGAGCAGCAGCAGCACGTCCTCCCCAGGAGCGGGCAGGTGCTCCTGGATCATGTCTGCGGAGACGAAGCCCTTGCTGTAGGCCCAACCTGCATGGGGAGAGGAGAGCACCACCTTCCAGAGCCGCGCTGGCCGCGGGGGGCAGTGTGGGCGGGGGGAGGGTGCTCCGGCTCGGCTCCCGAGAAGGCCTCCAGCTGCAGCAGCACCCACTGGTCAGCGGGACAGCCAGCCCTGCCACCCCCGGTCAAGCAGGGAAGGGTCCAGGGGACCGCTGTGTCTGTGCACTTGGAGGCTGGCAGCGGCAGCGGCTTTCACTGAGACCAGAACCCATGGAAGGGGGAACCCTGATCTGGGACGTCCAGCAATGGGGACGGTACCTTCTGGGGGGTGATCCAGAGTGAACCAGAGCTTAAAGCGGTTGGGGTGTCGGGCCTGCAGCTCCTCCAAGTCCTCTCGTAAGATTATGTCCTTTTCAGTCTGAAACGAAGAGGAGAAGCAAAGTCTTTAGGAACCTTCTCAGATTCCGAAACATAAAAAGTTCACTGCTATAACAACTTTCCAACCAGGAAAGAAAAAGAAAGCAGAAGTTCAAGGGTATAAGCAAGGCTTTGAGGGAATTAGGATGAGGGGAACAAGAGGGAAGGAGCCTTTATTGACACAATAAAAGGAATGAAGATGGACTGTATAACAGGAAACTCAAGGAGTAAGTCTCTACACTCTGTAAATGTTTTCTCTTTCTCTTCCCTCAGGGGCCAGGGGAGGAATCTGGCTCAGTGCTCTGTCCTGCTTACTGTGGGGAGGACCCTCTATGCGCAGCGAGGCCCTGGGCAAAGGCCGGGCCAGTCTACCCACCAGGACCACCATCCCCACACAGTAACTATGAAATCCCAGGACTGAAAAAAGCGAAGCAACCTGGTTGGCAAACAGCAGAAAGCAGCGGGTGGGATCTTCGGGGTCTTTCAGGATGGCCCGGGTCAGCTGCAGCATTGGCGTGATTCCTGTGCACAGATGCCCCGCAGTGAGACCGAGGCCACACTCCCATCCCTGCCTGTGAGCTGCCCAGCCGAGTCAGCTCAGTTCTGCTCCCGCAGCCCTCCACTCTGCTTTCCTTCATGTCCTAGTCCTCTGCGCTTCTCCTGTGACTTCACAGCATGACATTTCTGGACGGACGTGCCCTTTATCCCAAACTCACTAACTGTCCTATCTGTGGGTGACTTGGGATCAGGTGCTCAGTGTTCCCATAAGTTCATGTGTTGAAAACAAAGATAAGTCAAAGTGAAAGTCGCTCAGTCGTGTCCAGCTCTTTTCGACTCCATGGGCTATAGTCCACGGAATTCTCCAGGCCAGAATACTAGAGTCGGTAGCCTTTCCCTTCTCCGGGGGATCTTCCCAACCCAGGGATTGAACCCAGGTCTCCCACACTGCAGGTGCATTCTTTACCAGCTGAGCCACAAGGGAAGCCCTCATGTTGAAATCCTACTAAAGAACCAATCCAGGACTCTCCTGAAGTCCGCTGGAGAGTAGGGCTCAACATCCCAGATGACTGCAAGCAACTACTGACTCAGTGATGAGGAGCCTAGAGCCTTGGACTTGCAGGTTAAGTGCCTGAGCTTTGGAACTGGGCAGAGCTGCACATTGGCCCTGCCTCCGGCCATGCAGAAAGCCTTCAATCTGTCCAAACTTCCGATTTCTCATCCCTAAAAAGGGAAGGCGCATACTGACATCACAGATACATACAAAGAGACTAGCACAGTGTCTGACACAGGCAGATGTCCAATGCTAGTTTTCTTTCTTCTCCACTGTCCTATTTGTAGCTGCTTCTCTGTTCTCACCCAAAATTTATTAGATTCATTCAATTTGAGGTCTTGGGAGAGCCCACCTGATCTTTCTCTCATAATGTCAGTTAAAAATAAATTTTTTGGGGGGCTTCTACCTGATTATGATTTTGTTTTGCAGCACCCGGGGAGCTCTAGGCATTGCTGGGACCCCCCAGTTTGGCCATGATTACCAAACTTTCTGAGGGGCACCTGGAGCTGTCACGGCCACAGTCACAATGGAGGGAGGGAAGGGGCTGCCCTGGGGCCATGCACCTGTGCCTCCGGCAATCATTCCCAGGTTCCTAGCCATGCGTGCTTCTGGTGGAGCCTTTTTGTTGGGCTGGATGTTAAATTTCCCTGAGAAGTCAAGTGGAGAGATGGGAGAAAGAACAAAGTCAATTCAGTGAAGTAAGGAAACAAATGCAGAGTCGAAAACACGGCCCAGGCCATTTGAGCAGCTGCTGTGCAATCGGATCCTGGGGTGTGGGTGTTGGGCCAGCCCTGACAAGACACTTGCAGGACAATGGGGCCAGGACTGTCTGTCCCATATGATGAGCCACAGTGAGTCAATAGCTGCCTCCTGCAGAGAGTCACTCCTTGGCGAGGGCAACAGGCATGGGGCCAGGTGTGAATCTACCTCCCCAGAGGCACAGAGCAGTGCCCACGCTGCCTAATGCACCCGCTGTTCCCTTGGGAAGGGCGAACGGCATTGTCATCTCTGGCTCTCTGCAGCTTGGCCTGAGGGTTAGCCTCTGACGGAGAGCGGAAGCAGCATGCGTTTGTGTTAGTCATCCCCATGGCTGTCATGGCTGCTGAACCGTGTGGGTGCGGAACTGATCTCGGGCACACAGGGCTGCGGAAGACGCCTCTGTCTAACACCGGGGCTGTGTTCACAGGTGGGGCAGGCGGCCCTCACCCATGTGCACGCACACACAGAGCCATGCTCCGCAGAGAAATCTGCGGGCACGAGCGTCGTGGGGGCAGGCCGTTACCTTTTCCGGCGTAAGTGAGCAGCCCACTCGGCCCTCGAAACTCCACCACATCCCCAATCTTCAGGCTATCCAGGTACTGAGACATCTTCCCCCCCTCAGGAAATTTGGGGTGCACACCCTTCAGATAGACCTGATAAGACAGAACGGCTTCTGAGTTCCCCGGTGACAGAACCTTCCTGAAGCTGGGCAGGGATGACACCAGGGCTCTGTCTTCACGTCCACAAAGGACACGCGCCTCCTCCTATCCAACACATCTTGGAAGTTTCTACAAAGCTCAGAAGGAGGAGGATAAGGGTTCCGGGGGTTCCTTCTGACCCTCTTACCTTGATGACAAGATCCACGTAGCCCTGGTCCTCATCGCTGGTGACAGGAGTGTACGGCCTGATGACCAGGCTGCCATCGATCCGGGCAGAGAGGTAGACATGTTTGCCTGGGGACCACGTGCAGAGCTACATGTGGACCGGCTGCACTTGGTCTACCTTTCAAAACACTCTGGGAGGTCTGAGAGGAGAAAAGCATCTTGCTCCCTACTGGGGTCCCCGTGAGCTACCTGGCAGGGAGGCTTCAACCCTTTGAGGCCCCAGCTGGACCCCTCAAAAGCTGCCCTCTGCAGAAACTCTTATCAGCGACTGCCAGGACCTTAGTGGAGAGCTGAGGCTCTGGGCAATGGGGAGAAGGGCAGAGTTTGCTCAGGGGCAGTATTTGCTGAAATCCTGCAGAAAAGAGTGGGGAGTGTAGAGTGCTGAAGATGTCTGGGGGCACCGGAGCCACGCCCAGAGTGGCCCAAGGCACCTTACAGCCTGGAGGGTCTGCACCCTGGTGGGGAAAAGGGACAGAGTGTGAAGGCACCAGAAGGCAGGAGTGCGGTGCAGGAGACCCCAGGAGGGGAGCCACCCTGTCAGGATTCCAGGAAAAGGAGCCCACGCCACGCTTCTTACCCACAGGCAGCCCCAGAACGTGATGAGCCGTGGGCAGGGCAAAGCGGAACCTCTTGGTGTTGTGGTTCACGGTCTGGAGGACAGATGACAAGCGTCTCACCAGGCAGGTTTGGTGTGGCCAAGACTCCCGGGCATCCCAGCCACGGTCGAGCAGAGCTCCGTCCCCGCGCCTACTCCACAACTCACCGTCTTGTCTAGCAGTCGCAGCCGGTACTTCTCGTTGGGGTCCAGGAGCGTGACCGGCGGCCGGCGGGACCTCCGCACTAGGTAGGCGCCCAGAGCCACGCCGAGCAGTGTCAGCAGCCCCGCGCCCAGGGAGGCCAGCAGGACCGGGCTCTGCAGGCAGAGAGGGCAATGACCTCCCCGCTGGGGAAGAGCCCAGCGCGCGGGCAGGGGCGGGCCCCGGGGACCTGTGCCCTGGGAGGGTTAGCCCAGACTCCGGCCCAGGGGCCAGCCGAGGCCCGGGGGGCAGCCTGGGTGGGGCCCCCAGCCCGAGCGTGCGGCCCCGGGACACCGGCATCCGGGCGGACGTGAAGCCCTTCCGGGCGGGGCTGGCGACTACAGCCCCTGGTCCGGACCTGAGAGCCGGGTCCCAGAGGAGGTGGAGTCCCCCGGCTCGGGGTTAGGGAGCGAGGGTCTTACCGGCTGCAGCCCCATGGCGAGAACCGCGGGGCCCGCCGCGCAGCCGGCCGCCGGATCCCACAATGCGCAGCGGGAAGGGAGGGGGCGGTGGGGTGGGCGGGGCCTGAGGAGGTGGGGCCCATATTGGAGAGGTCTGGGGCGGGGCGGATGGGCGGGGCCATACGGCGCCCCACCCCTTTCCCTCAGACCCGGAGCCCTACCCGGAGGGGCTGCCGCTCCAGCCCCTCCTCCCCCAGCCTTCGGTCCGTGGCCCCTTGGATCGCTCCGGCTCCAACAGGCAGAGTCCTGTCAAACGTAGACACACACCCCGCGAGAGCTGGAAATCTCAAGCGTGCAGATACTCAGCGAGAGACAGGCTCAAAGTAAAGCTGGAGGGCCTGCCAGTAACTGACGATCGTGCAGTCTCCTTGGTTTCTCAACAGGCAGAATTTCGACCAGAGGATCCACAGCCTGGCCGAACCTCCTCAGGAATGACAGGGCCAACTTCGTTGTCTGCTTCCGTGACTGGTTTTGCTCGCAAGGCCAGGCCCTCCGGCCGTCAGGCCCATTCAGGAGCTCACTTTGGGTCCAGGTCAAGATTCTCCGGCTTCCCCGGGTGGCTCAGTGGTCAAGAATCGCCTGCTAACGCAGGAGATGCAGGTTCCATCCCTGGGCCAGGAGGATGCCCCGGAGGAGGAAATGGCAACCCACTCCAGTACTTTTGCCTGGAAAATTCCGTGGACAGAGGATCCTGGTGGACTGCAGTCCATGGGGCCACAGAAGAGTCCGACAGGACTGAACACAAGCTTCCTACCAGGATCTGGGTTCTCCTGCCTCCAGGGCTGAAGACCCGGCTTTGGGGGTAGACCAAACTGAATCAGAACCTGGACAACCTACTCAACCCCTCTGTGATTCCTGTCTGCAGATGGACGCGTGCTGCTGTCTGTCTAGTTCATAGGTTGCTGTGAGACCTAAGTGAGACATGTAATGCACTCAGCATGTGGCCTGTCACAGAGCAAAGCTCTCGACAGGCGTCAGCTGCTGCGGTGACTCAGCAGACAGTACTGATGCTCGGTTAGGGATTACAGCTGAGCTCTGTTGGCAGGAGAAGCCTGGGGCAGGAGGGGTCAGACACAGATGCTGAGACCTGGAGCACACAGTGGCCGGGATGGCCATTCTCTCTAATACACAGTTCCCAAATGGAATGCATTTGCCCTGGATTTCTCCCGAGGCTTGATTCCTTGGCTTGTAGGTGCCCATCTTCTCACCGTATCTTCACATGGTCTTTCCTCTGTGTGGGTCTGAGTTGGCATCCTTTCTCTGTTTGGTCAGACAGTAAACATTTTGGTGGCATACAGTCTGTGTAGCAACTCTTCTACTTTGCTGCTGTAGCGTGAAAGCAGCCATAGATAATACATAAATGAACGAAAGTAACTACTTTCTAGTGACATTTTATTTACAAAAACAGATAGTGGATCCTCATCCAGCATTACCAGAACCCCTCAGATGAACTGATACTCAGCCCTTCCAGACCCCACAGAAAAGCACTCAGAGACCTGTTTGAGTGGAGGGGGGCGGGGTGGCGGCCAGACTCTCCAGTCTGGAGCTGGACACAGAGGGACACTCCCAAGTGACCCGAAGGACACCAGCTCACGTGATGAGCACCGACCTCCAGGCTCCCCACAAGATAAGTCACCGATTCCTGCCCACTCCTGCCATCCAGCCCCTCAGAATGGCCTTCACTAGACTGGACAATGGGTGGTGAAGCTCCAGGCTCAGAAGAGCTCCGTAACTCCATCCTCCTGAGATGACCTCCCTTCTCCGTCCAAGTCCTCATACCTTCAGCAACTCTGAAGGACACTGATTGTCTCTGTGTCCCATTGATTTTCCTCTTATGTGACTCTGCTGGGCTTCTCCTTTGAGCAAAGTGACTTGTGGGAGAAGCTTCTATAGTTGGTAAGACTTGGCTATCAGCCTCAAATGACGTGGGGGTGACTGCTGGTTTTGTGGTCCTTTAGGAATCTGTATTAATGGGATCATACAGTATGTGGTCTTTTGTATCTAACTTCTGTTTTGCATTGTGTTTGTGAGATTTATCTGTATTGTTGTGATTATAGTTTATTCATTTTCATTGCTGATTAGTGTTCTGTTGTATGACTAGATCAAATTTATCAATAAATACCTGTTCTACTACTGATGTCCATTTGGGTGGCCTCCAATTTGGGGCCATTACAAATGATGCTCCTATGTACATTGTCCTCCATGTCTTCTGGGGCACAGGCACTTGGATTTCTGTTGAGTGTGTACCTAGGAATGGAATTGCCCCATCGTTAGGTGCACGGTGTTAGATGCAGTGGATTCTGCAAATGGTTTTCTAAAGCAGTTGTGGTGGTTTGCCCTTCCACTAGTGGAGATGAGAATTCTTGCTGCTCTACATCGGAGGCTGAGAAACACTTTGTCTAAAGGGCCAGACAGTAAATGTTCTAGATTTTGTGAACTATAGAGTATCCGTCACTGCTATTCAACTTGGCTTTTCAGCAGTGTGTAGAAAAGTGATTATGGCTGTGCTCCGATACAGCTGTATTGGTGAAGCAGTCCATGGGCTGTGTTTGGTCCACAAACAAAGGGTTGGCTGCAGTTTACCAACCCTTGTTCTACATTCTTTCCAACGTGAGGTACTTCTTAACTTCAGACGTTTTGATGTTTATTTGCAGTTCTTCGAGGAAAAGTGAGAGGACCTCCTTGTGAAACACTTCCTCATTTGCAGGGTTCCTTGTTGAGGCTTTCAGCTCATGGGGTTGCCTGTCTTTTTCTCATTAATTTCTACTAGTTCTTTATGTATTTCCGGGTGGATATTCTTCATCTGTTACAGGTTAACAATATTCCCACTGTGTAGCTTGCCTTTTCTCTTTATGATGCTTCTTCATATGCTGTTAAATTTGGCCAATATTGAAGACATCCTTCCTTATATTTTCATTGTTTTTTTGTTTCTTCTATTTTTACTAAATTCTTATGATGGATGCTTACCTTTTAAATTTTTAGTCTTGTTTATTTTATTAGTCTCACATATTTTCACTTAAGACTGTAAATTTCCTTCTGGAACAGGATTAACTGCATGACCCAAGTTTTCCTATTAGTAATTCCATTATGATTGAGCTCTAAATGTATTAGCTTCCATAATGATTTTTCTTTAGCTTATGAATTATTTAGAAATATGTGTTTATTTTAAAAATACGGGTTTAAAAACCTTTCTTTTGGTCATTAATTTAGAAACCAGATGGGTTAGAAGCTAATTGTGTTGCCAGAGACCTTAGAGTGTCTTTTCAGTTCTTTGGGGCTTGCTGAGCTGCTGCCTGGTCAGTTTTAATGCATGTTTCTAGTTTTTTGTGTTGAATGTGTAGTTCTTGGTGTTTTGGCTTAGTTGATTGTCTCCCATATCTTGAAATTCTGGATGATCCTGTCCTTTGCTCATTGCTTGCACCCCACTCCACCTACTATCACAGACATTGAATTTCCTCAGGGCGAAACCAGCTTAAGTCGTTTACCTATCTGGAGTCCCATTTTTGTTTAATTATTTGGTCTCTGAGAATTTCATGTATTGTTTTCATCCCAGTAATCACCAGCTCAACGGACATGAGTTTGAGCAAGTTCCGGGAGTTGGTGATGGGCAGTGAGGCCTGTTGTGCTGCAGTCCGTGGGGGTCACAAAGAGTCAGACGCGACTGAGTGACTGAACTGGACTGAATACACAAAACAGCAACTTTTAAGTGTTAGGTATGGTATATCTAGTTGTTTTATTTTGTTTAGAAAGTTCATGTGTTTGTTCATTTTTGGCTGTGCTGGGTCTCTTGCTGCGTTCAGGCTTTCTCTGGTTGCAGTGGGCAGGGGCTCCTCTAGTTGAGGTGCTTCTCTCGATGGGGAGCACAGGCTCCAGGAGTTGTGGTGCACAGGCTTGGTAGCCCCTAGGCATGTGAGGTCTTCCCGGACCACGGATCAAACCTGTGTCCCCTGATTTTTAACCACTGGATCACCAGGGAAGCCCTGTTTAATATAAGGGTTCATAGTCAGGCAAACTGCCAGTAGCAAAATCTTCAGTAGTTTCTTTATTTGTGATTACGCTGAATAGAAACATATAGATATTTTTGCATAAATTAATAAATTCTGTATTGAAAATATTGTAATGAAGCCTGAGTATTCATTTAATGGTTGTGTCTTGAAGATCTTTTCAAGTCATACTTAAAATTTTTTTTATAATAGCAATCAGGGAATTTGAAACTTCTTGTTTCAGATAACTAGAAAAGCTGAACAAAATACATATAGCATCTGATCGAAAGCAACAGCAAGATATCAAGGTAAGGAAGAATTATCAGGCTAATGCCAAAAGGGTTTCTGTCAGCTGAAAAAAGCCTTTTATCAAAATTTTAAATGGATATTCACCCAAAGACTTCGCATTCATTTTACTGGTCAACACATATTGCAAGGAACATGGTGTTTTTTTTTTTATCTTTTTTAGATGTAGGGCTCACTGGTAAAGAATCTGCCTGCCAATGCAGGAGATGCAGGTTTGATCCCTGGGTCGGGGAAGATCCCCTGGAGAAGGAAATGGCAACCCATTCCAGTATTCTTGCCTGGAGAGTCCCATGGACAGAAGAGCCTGGCGGGCCGCAGTCCACAGTTGCACAGAGTCGGACACAGCTGAGTGACTTAGCACATATGCATGCATGGTCTTCCATGATGTTAGTTTCTAACACAGTGGCTGAATAAATATCCCAGGGAGAGGCAACTAGTTATATCCAAACACTATTTTTTTAAAAAGCTAACTTCAGAAAAATTTCTGAACCCCCTCAAAACCCTACAAAACCCTTTCATTTATGTTTTTATTGGGCTTCATCAATTTCGTTCATCAAACGAAAGAGAACTGGCACCTATGTTGCATTTAATTTTAATTATTGATTTTTGCATTAAGTTCTTTGTTGGTGTCATTCAAGTTTGGTTCATATTATTACTACTAACCCTGAGTCTGTACCCAAATATTTCCTGAATATATACAGACAGGAATGTGTAATTCTGACTCCTTATTTTTCCGATGGGAATAGAAAGATTTCTAAGTTACGTATTGTTTGTTTCCTCTAGAAGGTTATAGCTGCTGGTTCAGCTCTTCATAACTTTATGAGGCAGATAGGGGACATTTCAATGCTCTCGTGAAAGTAAACTGCCCTCTCCTTAGAAAAATGGACATATGTAAACACAGTTCTAGCAGATTCATGAATACTTAAAGCGTCCATTCCTGAGTCCCAGCTAAGCAGACTTTCCTCCAGCAAGGTCTTAATCTTGACACATGAGAGGCTTGGGTCTTCCTGTGGTGGACATGTGTACCCCCCGGTCCCAGAACTCATCCCTTTAGATCCTAACTCTCAGGGGGATGGCAATAGGAGGTGGAGCCTTTGGGAATGACTAGGGCTTGAGGGAGGGGTCCTTGTGAATAGGATTGGTGCCCTCATAAAAGAAGTCAGAGAGCCCCCTGCCCCCTTGGTGCACGTGTGAGGATGCAGCAGAAAGACAGTGTCTGTAAACCAAGAGGCGGGCCCTCCCCAGACACTGCACGTTGACCTTGGACTCCCAGCCTCCAGCACATGAGAAGTAAAGCTCTGTTGTTTATAACCCTTGGAATATAACAGCCTGAGCTGACCAAGACAGGTGTGGGCGTGAGCCACCATCAGCATGATTATGGTGCTGTCATGACCGTGGTGGAGCGACGGGTGCTTTCTGGAAAGAGCTTGGGCTGTTATAATTGTGTGTGCATGAGAATCAAGGCAGTTCCTGGTGCCTCCCTCCCTCTCTCTGGCTCCCGGAAGCCAGAGGATGTTGTCTCACTGGTGCCCCTCATTGGACTGTACCTCCTCTCTGAAGTAGCCTACAAAAATCAAGAGTTGGGGTGACAGCACCTCTCAGCTTGCCTGGGGCAGTCTCGGTTTATGTCTGCTGTCCTGTGTAGTTTTACTATTGCTTCCTTTCACTGTCACTCTCAAAAGTGTCCCAGGTAGGAGAACAAACTACATGGTCACCCAGCTCAAGAACAAACAGGCCTTGACCAATTTCTAGCTTTATTTCTTGCCAGCCGAGCCGATTCCATCCCCAAGCCCCACCCTTCCTGGTTTCCCGCGGTGCGGTCTACCCGTCCTCTTCCTCGTCATACTCCGTGGTCCAGACTTTGATCTGCCTGATCAGGAGCCAGGACTCCTGGGCCTCTAGCACCAGCAGCCGGATGCAGCCCAGCGCCTCCAGAGAGTCTTCTTCGTAAGACACCATCTGGTCCAGACGACCGTCCACCACTGGGCCGAGCAGGGTGTAGCGAGCACAGCCCCCAGGGTCCTCCAGGGGCCCGAAGCCCAGCTCCACGCGCCCTTGCTGCAGCTGGTACCTGCCTTCTTTGTCAGAGCCCGTCAGCACCTCGATCCGGATGACCTTCTGGGGCTCCTCCAGGATCACTGTCAGGTGGTTGCCTCGGACGGGGCTGAGGGTGGCGAAGCTCTCCTGGTTCAGGGTGTAGGCGTACTGCGGGATGTTGGTGGACAGCACCACCATGTCCGTGCGCACGCTGGCCGTGGGGTTGTCAGGCTCGCCAAAGACCTTCTCCTTGTCTGCAGGGAAGCAGGCGCTCTCCGGCCCGGAGCGGTTGCTCACGTGGTAGAAGATTGAGGAGCCGAAGCGGATCGGTGTGTTCTGGGCCAGAAGAAGAGGGAACTCAGAGAGAAGCAAGTGCGTGGGGGTGTCCTTGGGGAAGACGAGGAGGAAGGAGGCCAGGCGGGGGAGGTCGCTGGAGCGGAACACCTTCCCCGCGAAACTCAGGCTGGAGAACTCCAGGGTCACCCAAGGCAGCTCCTTCCAAGCAGACAGCGTCCAGTAGATGCTGGAGATGAACTTGGGCATGCAGCGCACCCGGTCGTCCAGCATCAGGAAGTATTCAGAGAGGTTGGCAGCGAAGTTCATGAGGAGGGCGTGGTCGGCCTTCTGCGCGGAGAACAAGGCCTCGCAGGGTGAGGGGCGGCCCTCGGGCCTCAGGGTGCCCAGGGGAGGGGGCCCGCTGAGCTGGCCCCGGACCACCAGCAGCTGCCGGGCCTCGATGTGTGTTCGGAAGAGGGCAGAGATGTTGGCCAGCGTCTGGCTGAGCCGCTCAGGGTCGGAGTCCGACAGGGACACCAGCATCACGACACGGTCCAGCTCGGGGCCCGAGGACGCCTGGAACAGGGAGCTCAGGGTGTCCAGGAGACGGCTCTCGTGGGGATGCAGCGCCGAGGAGACACCCACCGTCAGCAGCTCTGGGGGCGGGGGGCGGCTGTTAGCACCTCCCAAGGGTGGGCAGGTCCCAGGTCTCCCCCCACAGCCGCCCTAAGGGCTGGGGCCCGAGAGGAGCGCCACGTCCGCTCCCGGGGAGAGCTGACCGCGGTGCAGGAGAGGGACAAGGGCTTGCTCTCCTCTCTGTTTAGAAAGGCTGTTGGCCGGGGCGGGGCGGGGGGTGTGGGGGGTGTCCTTTGAAGGATAAGGCTCCCTCTGATGGAGAAGGTTGCCAGGTCCAACGGGATGTTGCTGGCCCTGACCTCAGGGTTATCCCAGTGGCTGTGTGTTTGCCAGACCTGGGTTGGAGGCTTTCCGGGGACCTGTGTAGACTCGCGGGGCCTGGCAGTGCGGAGCCCAGGGGTCGCTTTCACTGCCCCCTCCCCGTCTGGCCAGGCGCTCTCCTCGCCTCCCCACAGGCGCTGTCCCGCCTGGCCCCCCCGAGGGGCGTGTCCTGAGCGAGCTTCCCCGAGGGACAGTCCCCAAGAGGCTGCTCTGTGCATCTCAGCATGTCGCTCCTTCGGGGGGTGGCAGGGACGGAGCAAAGACGCCTGCCCCGCACTCCGCGGCCGGCCCAGCCTCGGCGCACCCTCCGTCCCGCCCGTAGCTCTGCCCCCTGCCCTGGCCACCCTCCTTCTCCTGGCCCATCTGTGCCCCTGGCCTGCCGTCTCCCAGCCTTGCACCTACTCACTCTTTTCGTGGGGAGGGGCCCCGGCCAGGAGCTTGTACTTGGCGCGCTGGGGCCCCTGGGAGGTCTTCTGCATGTCCTTGAAGGCCTGCAGATGGCTCTTGACTTCGGGGCTGATTTGCTGTTGGTTGAGTTGCCACAGTATTTTCTTCTTTTCCTCCTGCTCAGAGTAAGATGAGCATCAGCCCCAGGCTTTCCCCTTTGAGTCAGGCCAGGCAAGCCCAGGATGTGGCCAACTGGTACCCCCCTCATCATGGGCACACACAGGGCTCTCTAAAAGGGGTGGGGGGGTCCAGCTTGTGCAGAAGGCCGACTGGAAGGGCCTGGCTTATGCAGCATGGAGACTCACCTGCCTCCACCTGGCCTGGGTCTGACTCCTCCACACTCTGGCTGGCAAAGGTCACCTAACTCGGCTCATCCGTGCTGGGCTCTGCGACAGACGCTGAAGGCTGGCGTCTGGGCCTGTGGTCGGCTCTGATTCACCCAGTTCTGACTGCATACACGTCCTGAAGCACCTTCCTTCACCCACCCCACGCTAAGCTCTGAGGCCTTCCAGAACAGCGTGGGCTCTAGGACTGGGCGTGGCCCGGGCCAGACTCAGACTCTTCCAGGTGCAGCGGTGCCCGCTGCTGGGGGCTCCTTCGGGGCTCAGGGATGTGGCCCCGGGTGGCCTTCCCGGCGGGTGGGTCCTGGCAGCCCCTGCGCACATGAATGCCCTTCCTTCCTCCTCGCCTTTACCCCGACTTTGTGTCAAGGCTGGCTCAGCCCTGATCCTGTCTCTGACCCTCTCCTGATCCTTCCAGAGCTTTCTCCTTAGAGCGCGCATGGCGAGGCTAGGGCGTCTGCGAAACTGGGAAAACTCCCCGCCGAAGGACCGGCCCATGGTCGGAGCTCCCCTGGGGGACTCACCACCAGTAAACTGTACATAAGATGCTCTTCAAGCCTCTCTTGGAGGAAGGAGCCCAGGAGGATCAGGGACACGACGACCATGAGGTACCTGCACAGGCAGCGGCTCCCGGAGCGCGGGCCTGGATCAGCTCTGCGGAGACAGGCAAGTGTGGGCCCGGCGAGCTCCGGCTCCCGCTTCCTCCCCGCCTCTCCCGGGGTCTCCCGGAGCCTTTCCGCCCTGCTGACCTGCCCCTGCTGATAGCCCCCGGGGAGACAGAGGCCAAGGGGGCTGGTCGTGTCCAGCCCCTGGATTCCCTCTTGGAGCAGCGACCCTGCCGAAGGACGCATTGCCGAGAGGAGGAGAGGCAGGGCTAGGTGATAATCAGGCCTTCCCCAGACCTCAGACTCAGCTGGCGTCTCTGCCCGGGTGTGACCAGCTGTGACTGGGACTCTGTCAGCTCTCACCGCCTTCTGAGTCTGCTCCTTCCCGGGATAGTGGTAGACAGATAACGAGGTTCTGAGTCAAGTCAGAGGGACCGAGGGAAGCTGGTTAGTACGCGTCTCTCTCCCGTCCCCGGCTGGTCACAAGGGTGGAAACCTTAAGTGGCTGGAAATTCCTAATCATGTGACGTCTTGACCAGGTTGAGAGTGTTATGTCCATGGAGATTTTTGTCTCATGGAGAAGGTGCTTTGAGGGTTTATCAGAGAGCAGAGATCTCCCTGAGATCAGGGAGAAAACCCTTTAATGCTGCAGGTTGGGGGCCCAGAGGGCTTTTCCGAGGCCGCTGAACCTGGGCATCCCTCCCGGGGGACCCCGCTTGACGACCCTTGTTCACCTTGAACGGGGGCTGCCCAGCACCCCAGCCTCGAGGCATGTACCTGCTTCTGGGTGAGGCCAGGGTCAAAAGCTTTTCAGGCTTTTGTCTCAAGCCTGGGAGTCTGGAAGTTAACTGTCAGTTTGAGTCAGTGGACGAAGGTGGGTATTGAAGAACCCCTTCCCCAACCGGAAAGCTCCCATCCTGCCCCCTGTCCCGGGCTGCCTGCGGGGTCTCTAAGCATCACAGGTTGGTCCCAAAGCTCCAATTCTCCCCCGGGCCCAGGACTACCCAGACCTCTGAAGTTCCCTTCTCTTCTCTTTCTCTGGCCTTTTTCATTACTAAGAATGTATTTCAGTTCTTTCTTCTCTCCCTCCCCAGCTTAAGGTGAACAGAATAATAACTTTACTTACATAAACTGCAAAATAATTACCATCATAAATTAACATTTGTCACCTCATACAGATACCAAAAAGAAAAAAAAAGGAAAAGGTTTCCTTGTGATGAGAATTTTTAAGATTTACTTTCTCAGCAGCCTTCAAATATACTCGACAGTAGCATTTACTATGGTCACCTTGCTGTCCATCACATTGCCAGGACTCACTGATCTGATACCTGCAAGTTTGTACTTTTTGATCACCTTCCTCTAATGCACCCCCGCCTCTGGTAGCCACAGTCTGATCTCTTCTGTGGCTGCTGTTTATTTATAGAATTCACAGATCACTGAGACCACACAAAGTTTGTCGTTGTCTGTCTGACTTATTTCATTTAATATAGTGCTCTCAAGTTCTTTCCTGGTCACAGATGGCAGGATTCCCTTCTTTTCATGGCCAAATGGCATTCCTTTCTGTATGTCTCTGTGTATCTATCATGTTTTCTTTATCCATAATAGTGCGGTTTTGACAAGTCTATCTACTTAAGAACTGTAGTCTTCTAACAGGACAGAACTTTTTGAACTAAGACTTTTCTCCCCTCCTCTCTTCCCCTCTTTGAATCATCTTCTAAGTTCCCCCCACCTTTTCTCCTCTGGGAATCAAAAAACAAAAAAGCAAACAAAAGCCATTAAAAGCTTTGTTTTGAAGTTAGGATGGTTAGAGAATCTCTAGAACATTTTTTTCCCCTGCATTAAAAAGTTATGTGTAGGGACTTCCCTGGTGGTCCAGTGCTTAAGACTGTGCTTCCACTGCAGTGGGCACAGGTTCGATCCCTGGTCGGGGAACTAAGATCCCACATGCCTTATGGTGTGGCCAAAATAAATAAATAAAAATACTTAAAAAATTTAAATAGTTATATATTACTTTGATGTTCAATGTATTTTTTTTAAGGTCAGTGCTTTTTAAAACCCTGTTTAAGAATTGTTGTATACTATAGAGTTGTGAAGATATTCTCTTATGATTCTTTCTAGAAGTTTTACAGTTTTGGTTCCCCCCTCCAGCTTAATTATTGAGTTATGGCTGACAAATAAAAATTGTATGTATTAAGTGTACAACTTGATGCTTTGATACAGATTTACACTGTGAAATAATTACCACAGTCACCTCACATGGTTGCCGCTTCTCTCCTCTCTTTTCTCTTCTCATCTTTTGTTTATTCTCCTTTGCGGTGAAGGCCTTTAAGATCTGCTCTTTCAGAAAATTTCACGTATAAAAACAGCATTGGTGACTACAGCTACATTGCTGTACTTCAGCTCCCCAAAGCTTATTCATCTTTGCTTCTTTTTATAAGACCGCCCCCCTTCCCCTCTTCCAGGTTCTGCAACCAACATTTCTATCCTTTGCTTCTGTGAGCTTCACTATTTTAAATCCCACATATAAATGAGATCATGCAGTATTTGTCTTTCTGTGTCTGGCTTATTTCACTTGGCATGATGTCCTCAAAGTTCATCCATGTCGTCACAGATGGCAGCATTTCCACCTTTTTAAAGGCTGTGTAATACTTCCTTGAATGTTTATACACCACATTTTCTTTATCTGCTCCTCTGTCAGTAGACGTTTAGGGTGTTTCCTTTCTTAAATAATGCCGCAATGAACATGGGAGTGCAGGTATCTTTTTGAGATCCTGATTTCAGTTCCTTTGGATATACAAGTACCAAGAAATAGGATTGCTGAATCAGAAGTTAGTTCTAACTTTATTTTTTTGAGGTGCTCCCATAATGGCTGTACCAACTTATGTTCCCTCTAACAATGTGCAAGGGTTCACTTTCCCCCAATTCCTAGCCAAGACTTATCTTAATTTTTTTTTTTTAGTATAAGCAATTCTAATGGAAGTGAGGTGATATCTCACTGTGGTTTTGGTTTGAATTTCCCTGATGACTAACGAGAGCTTCCCTGGTAGTTCAGCTGGTAAAGACTCTGCCTGAGACCCCAGATGACTAATGATGTTGAGAGTCTTTTCGTGTACCTGTTGGCCATTCTCAATGTCTGCTTTTGAGAAATGTCTCTAAAGGTCCTTTGCCCATTTTTAATTGAGCTATTAATATTATTTTTTTTTGCTGTGGAGTTAAGTGAATCCCTTATGTACTACGGATATTAGCCCCTTACCAGATAAACATCCTGCAAATAAATGCCTGCTGTTCAGGGGCTGCCGTCTCATTTGTCCACGGTTTCCTTCACTGTGCAGAATACAGTGCTTGGGTTTACCTTTAGGCCTGTGTCCGTCTCAAATTCATATTTGTGTATGGTGTGAGGTAGGGGTTGAGGTTCATTTCTTTTCACTGATACCCAGCTCTTTCAGCACCATTTTTGGAAAACAGTTTCCCTTGCCTTCTGAATTACCTTGGCATCTCGTCAAAATCCAGGAAGGGCATAAGCCTGCAGCTGTTTCCACTCTTGTGTCGTTCTGCTGATCTATTTTTACTGCGCTCTGCTTAACATCACGTCATCCCCCTCCCCCCAGCACCGAGGTCATAATGCTGGTCTCCTGTGTGTTCAGGTAGGAACCTGTGCTCGGGTTCCAGTCCTGCTAGCTTTCCCACACATCCTGGGGCAGTGCCATCTCTGTGACAAATTACAGGGGTTTCTTCCCCTATTTAGGTTTCATCCCCTATTTCTTGGGGATGGTTTTCTAACGTTGTGCCTAAGCCGTACCATTTTGTTAGAATAATTTGTTAGTTTTTCAGTTTCTAAGTCAGCTTTGTGGACGTATAAGTCACAAACGGTTTTTACCATGCGGCTCACCGAGCTTCAGCAAATGTGAACAGTTGTGGAGCTGCGTCACCGTCGAGTCGGAGAGCAGCTCTGTGCCCGGTGCGGTCCGTGTCCAGCTTCCCGGCCCACCCACCCCCGGGTCCGGAGGACCACTGATCCGGTTCCTATCACTGTGGTCTGCCTTTTCTAGAATTTACCTATGTTTATCTTCCTGTGATTTCTGATGAGCATTTCAGTTGTTTTAGCGTTTGAATACAGTGAATAAAGCCTCTCCAGAAATCCACGGGCAAGTTTCTGGGTAAATAAGAGTGCGATGGCTGGTGTGTGTGGTAGGTGCAGGTTTAACTTCCTAAGAAACGGCCGGGCTCTTCTCCAGAGTGGCTGCACCACTGTGCGCTCCCACCAGCTGCGCGCTCGGCAACACTCGAGACTTCAGTCCTTCACTGTGAGCCATCCCAGCGGGGCTTTGTTGGTGTCTCACTGTGTCTTATCCCTTTTGTAAATTAAGACATAATTTACATACAGTAAAGCCACCTCTTTCTCTTAGCGTGCCCTAACTTTCACTGTTATTGTCCAGTTGCATGGTCGCCACTGTGATCAAGCCACGGCCTGGCAGGACCCTGTCGCCTCCAGAGCTCGTCCTGTGCCTTTGGATCCAACCCGCTGCCTCACCTCCCGCCCCTGGCGACCATGCACCTGTCCTCAGCCCCCAGAGTGTCCTGTCAGCAGGGCCGCGCCGCTTGTCTCCGCCTGAGCCTGCCTCTTCCCCATTCGTGCGGCTGAGAGCCTCCCTGTCGCGCGAACCTCGGGGCCGCCTCCGCCTCCCCCGCTGAGTGATGCTCACTGCATGGACCGCAGCTCTTTGCAGCCACAGTTTGGTGGATGTTTGGACTGTTTCCAGCCTTTGGCAACCACAGATAAAGCCACTGAAGACTTTCCCTTTCAGGTTTTTGTGTAATTTGTTTTTATTTCTCTCAGATAAACATCTGGGAGTGCAATACTCTGTCATATGACGTGTGGTTTAGATTACAAGAAACTGCTAAACTTTTTCTAAAGTGGTGCCTCATTTTAAACATCCACCGGCATTGTATGGGAGTTCCAGTTGCTCTTCAGCAATACCTGATTGTCAGTTTAAAAAATTCAGCCCTTCCCACAGGTATACACGCAGTACCTACTAGCAGCCATGGTTTACGGTGGGCTGGCTGACTTCGTAAGTGTGCCTACTGAAATGCAGACGCAGTGTCCCCAGGAACTCACTCACCAGTGGCTCCAGAAGACAGTGATGAGGGAATGTGCTGGGGGGACGTGTCAGGCCGTCAGCTGGTGTAGGAGCGGGTTGTGTTACATCCTTGCTGACCCATGACAGCAGCGAAGACCTTGGCTGGCTGGTCAAGAGCCTGGAATTGTGGGGACCACGTCCGGGATAGAGGAACGTGATTGGATGACCAGGCCTGTGTGCGGATGTGGCAGGTTCACATCCACCAGGGAACACCTGTCATGGAGGGGGGCTGGGGGACGAGGAGGGTGGGCGATGGAGGCCCCCGTGGTGCCAGCACGGCGCACGTGTGAGCAGAGGGGCCACAGGGAGCCCCACGCGGACGATGACTCGCTAAGGCTGACCCTGCTCCTGTCGTTCTTGAACGTGCAGCCAGTGCGCAGTACCTTGTGCAGAGACACTTGCAAGCGTCCTTCCCCAGGAGACCAGCCAGACACCTCCCTGCTGACAAGCTGTCTTCTCGGGAACGGGCAGCCTCTCTGGGCCTGAGTTTGCTTCCCTGCCTGAGGCGCCCAGGGAGCACCACTCTCTGAAGGGCGGGTCCACTGGCATAGCTGCCACAGGGCACAGCCCCAGACCAGGAGGCCCCGCCCCCAGCAAAGGAAGAAAGGGTGGGCTTCCGCCACCTCCCCGACAGGCGCGTGGGGCGCCTCCAGGAGCTGACCACGTGTGCGGCTGCCTGCAGTGTGCATGCAGCCGGGTCAGAGGTGCGATCTTGAGGGTGGGCCTTCCATTCACATTCTCAGTGCTGAGAATGACAATCCCCCACCCCTGGCCCCGGCAGACAAGCAAACAGACCTCCAGCCGGTCTCCGACCCCATCGAGCTCAGAGAGCTGTGGTCTCAGAGGTGCCTTAGCTCCGCGACGCAGCGCTGCTCCTTTCTCTGGCATGGTGCCGCCCCTGCTGACCCCTTCTTATGTGGGCACAACAGCACTGCTCCGGTGGGCTGGACACAGTGCCCCAGAGTGGCCCAGTGCATTCAAAATGACCTGCCCCCCAAACCAGCCATAGACACGGGGGTCTGGAGACCAGGGGTGTGGTGTGCCTCCCCCAAGACCACTGCTCAGGAGACCCCAGCTGCCACTGTCAACCTTCTCCCAGACTTGTTCATCCTCCTCTCGGTGGACATCTTGCTGGGTGGTTCACGGAGAGATCAGATCCTTTCTGGCAAGAGCGGAATCACCTTCCCAACACACAAGAAGAGAACACACCCGTTCCCTGCCCCCCACCGTCTTGCCTTCCCTGCTCACTCGGCCTCATTAGGTCAGAAGAAGCTGCCTACCTCCTGTCAGAAGCGAGACCGCAGGCAAAGGACCTGGGCGTAAAAAGCCAGCAGGCTGCCTGGAGCTACGGACAGCCTGGCTGCGCCGGGCAGGCTCTCCCGTTACAGGGCGCGTGCTCTGCAGGGCATGGGGTCAGCAGTAGTGGTGCTCAGGGCTCCCCCGTGGCGGTGCTCGGGCTCAGTCGCCCTGCGGCCTGTGGGGTCTCAGTCCCCCAGCCACGGATCGAAGCCGTGTCCCCTGCATCGGAAGGCGGATTCTCAGCCACTAGACCACCAAGAAAGTCCCTGAGCTGCTTTAAAAAACATTAGCAAAACAGAACAATCCCCCCGCCCCGCCCCTCAATACAGCAGGTGCCGGAGGTGTGCGGAGCCTCCCCCTCTTTCCTCCTGGAAGCAGGAGAGGACACCTCTCCCCCACCCGACCCCCCTTGGAAGATGTCCTCCGTCTGCTGGAAGGAGCGTGATGTCATTGCTGTCAGGGCAGAGAGTGGAGGAGAGATGTCTGCACACACAGACTTTGTTCAGCAACACACTCATCTTCCGTCGCCTCCCCACATCTGCGGTTCCTTCTCCACAATCGCCCCTCTTGGTTCAACCCAACAGAAAAGTGTTTAGGTTTCACCGCTTCTCTGGGTCTTAATTTCCTCAGGAGGGCACCCTGAGTCACATAAAACCCGTGGGAAATAAGTGTGACTGCTTCTCTCACGTGTACATGCCCTGTGTCCATCTAGTTCCCAGGACCAGCCCTCATGACCTATGCTAGGACGTTTCCGAGCACAGAATGGCAGGAGTCCATTCCAGCTTGGGAGCCCTCGTGAATATTCAGAGCCCATCGGACTGGTTTCAGGGCTTCCCATGTGGCTAGTGGTAAAGAACCCACCTGTCAGTGCAGGAGATGTGAGAGATGTGCGTTCGATCCCTGGGTCCAGAAGATCCCCTGGAGGAGGGCACGGCAACCCACTGCAGTATTGTTGTCTGGAGAATCCTGTGGACAGAGGAGCCTGCCAGGCTGTGGTCCATGAGGTCGCAAGGAGTCAGGATTAAGCAACCTACCCGCAGACTGGTGTCAAAGTTGTCGTTATGGAAAACGGCCACGGGGTGGCAGCACTGATTCAGGCGCATCGCTGGTTACTCGGGCGCCCAGAGCCTGGGCTGTCAGTTCCGGCGGAATGTGCCAGAAGAAAAGCCTAAGCCTTGTGTCTCAAGACTTCCTCCCTCTGCCCTTTTACCCCCCAGCACATCCCACTTCCTGCAACCGCAGTGTGGGGTCGGTGCTGGCATCACAGGTGGGGCGGCCCTAACTGAGCCTGAAGGTGGGAAGCCCTTCCCCAGGAGACCGGGGCCCCACCCCCGTGCGGCGCGGCAGCTTGGCTTCACCGCAGGAGGGCCAGCCCTGATCTGGACACTGTGAGTTCAAGCCGGGGGAGCAGGCCCTCCAGCGCCATCAGAGAAACTCGTGGGCGGGCACACCCTCTCAGCGCCCCCAGCCCCACGCCTTGGGAACCGAGCTTGCTCACACTCGGGGGCTGTGACCCCCAGCCCAGGCCGCCAAAGCCTGTGGGGAGAGTCAGCGTCTGGTCGTCTGTTTTCAGTGTATTTGGAATTGGAGTCTGTAGGTGACTTACAATGTCCTTGGTTTTTTTTTCCTTTTTGATCTACAGCAGCTTGATTTGCTGAGATGTATACGTGTCCTTTTTCAGGTTCTTTCCCCATATAGACGATTACAGAGTGTTGAGTGGTGTTCCTTGTGCTCTACACCAGATCCGCGATTATTTTATAAATAGTAGCGTGCGTATGTTAATCTGAACCAGCTAATTTCCCGCTCCCCACCTTTCTTTTGTGGTAGCCGTAAGTTTCTTTTCTAAGTCTATGAGGCTCTTTTTCGTTTGTAAAGTTCATTTGTAGCCATGTTTAGACCCCACCTTGCGATCCAAAATCACTGCAGATGGTGACTGCAGCCATGAGATTAAAAGACGCTTGCTCCTTGGAAGAAGGGGACGACAGAGGATGATGTGGTTGGATGGCATCACCGACTCAAGGGCCATGCGTTTGAGTAAACTCTGGGAGTTGGTGATGGACAAGCAGGCCTGGCGTGCTGCAGTCCGTGGGGTCGCAAAGAGTCGGACATGATTGAGCAACTGAACTGAACTGAACTGCTCCTTGGAAGAAAAGCTGTGCCAAACCTAGACAGCATATTAAAAAGCAGAGACATTACTTTGCTGACAAAGGTCCATCTAATCAAGGCTATGGTTTTTCCAGTGGTCATGTATGGATGTGAGAGTTGGACTATAAAGAAAGCTGAGCACAGAAGAATTGATGCTTTTGAACTGTGGTGTTAGAGAAGACTCTTGAGAGTCCCTTGGACTGCAAGGAGATCCAACCAGTCCATCCTAAAGGAGATCAGTCCTGGGTGTTCATTGGAAGAACTGATGCTGAAGCTGAAACTCCAATACTTTGGCCACCTGATGCAAAGAGCCAACTCATTGGAAAAGACCCTGATGCTGGGAAAGATTGAAGGCAAGAGGAGAAGGGGACCACAGAGGATGAGATGGTTGGTTGGCATCACTGACTCAGTGGACATGAGTTTGAGTAAGCTCCGGGAGTTGGTGAAGGGCAGGGAAGCCTGGTGTGCTGCAGTCCATGGGGTCAGAAAAAGTCAGACATGACTGAGTGACTGAACTAAACTGAGACCCCCCCTGAGAAGTGGTGTCATGTGATATTTGTCTTTCTCTGTTTCACTTACTTCACTCAGCGTGATCATCTCTAGCCTCTTCCCTGTGGCTGGAAAAGGCATTATCTCCTCCTTTTTGATGGCTGAGTGATATTACATTGTGTATATGCACCCCATGTTCTTTATCCACTCATCTGTCCTTCTGCAGAGTTAGGGGGGTGGGATAAATTAAGAGTTTGGTATTAAAACATATACACGAATGCATATCAAATAGATAACCAAAAGGGACCTACTGAATAGCACTGGGAACTCTGCTGAACACACTGTAATAACCTGTATGGAAGAAGAACCAGAAAAGAAAAGATGTGCGTCTAAGTATAACTGAATCAAGTTCCCCTACACCCGGAACAAATGCAACATCTGACCAACTCTGCTCCAAGACAAAAATTAAATTAAAAAGTGGGAATGGTGCCATCTCGTGGTCATTTGCTGTAACAACAACTTTAAAACCTGGGCTGATGGGCCCTTAATAGTCCCAAGATCCGCGGGACTCACTCAGTCGTGTCTGACTTTTTCTGACCCCATGGACTGCACCTCCCCTCAAGAAATGTCCTAGGGGAGGTCATCGGAAAAGAATTCAAGAGAGCGCAGACATTCAAGAAGCCTATTTCAAGAGGTAAATTTTGCTCACACTGCTATGTTTAAAACGGGTACCCAACAAGGCCCCATTGCATAGCAGAGGGAACTCTTTTCAACGCTACGCGCCAGCCGGGACGGGAGAGGAGCTGGGGAGAATGGATTCAGGTACATGTATGGCTGAGTCCCTTTGCGTCCACCTGAAACTGTCACTACATTGTTAGTCGGCTGTACTCCAATATAAAATGAAATTATCTTTTTGTTAAAAGGTCAGTTTTGGTTAGGGTGATCCTTTAGAATAAATGCACCTCTGAGTGACTGACATTTAGATCAACTAGTCAAAATGGCTTATCACCCATTATTCTAAAACACTGGTCCATGGAAGAAGTTATGCTGGGGTGACAGCATGTCCCTGCCGTCCCGGAGCTGCTCTCTAGCTGTGGTCCTCGGGCTTCTCACCGCGGGGGTGTCTCTTGTTCCAGGGCGAGGGCCCCAGAGCACAGGCTCAGTAGTGTGATGCACAGGTTAGCTGCTTCACGGTCCCTGGAATCTCCCTGGATCAGGGATCGAACCCGTGTCCCCTGCCCTGGCGGGCAGTCATATCCACTGTGCCACCAGGCAAGTCCCTCGTGGAGGTAATGTTACATGCGCTCCCACTGCATCAGGGGCTCCAGGCTTTCTTTTCCTTTGTACAGGAGGTGGCTTGACAGGAACCGGCTTGGCCAGTTCTCCCTGGACATCGTCCTCCACGGTCCACACTGGGTGAGCTCGCTTCCTTTGTTGTGGTTGTTCAGTCGCTCAGTCATGTCTGACTCTTTTGGGAAGGTCGTGGGACCAGTCCTCACTGTCCGAGGAGGCTTCCTACACTGATTTCCACTCTCCTCAGACCGTACCCTTAAACCAACATGAGTAGAAATTCACTTCACAAGTGTATTTGCAGCAGTGAATATGACTTTATTCTC